AGAAGAAGAAGAAGAAGAAGAAGGGGAGTCGCTTTACTAATCTGGACATACAAATTAATCTTAGCGACTGAAGGTTGTTTATGAGCAAAGGTGCGATGATGCCAGCGTGGGTGGTGGTAACACAAACAAAGAAAGATTAAAGTAAGATATTTTCTGCTGACTAACTGGCAAAGCTAACTTGCACATTCAAGACTTTAGGTCAGATACAAAACACGGGGAGGGGTGAATGGCACAAAGACAATATTTAGCCTTTCTGCAGAATAATTCTTCTATATTGTAATAACTTGTCCTCTAAACAAGGGTTCATTACCTGGGGAATGAATTAATAACCAAAACAATAACTAAACACTTAGTATGTAGGAAGAGCTATGCTAAACACGGGGATAAAAATAGAAAAGTCAGACAAACCCTGGTGTCAGGGAGGTCACCTTTTAATGAGGGAGAAAACTATATGGGAGTTTCAGCTGCAAGTTAAATGGAAAGATCCCATGGTCTTTAGGGTGCAGGAAGCAAGCAGATGAAAATATATCTTCTTTCATGTTCATACTGGTTTCTAATGTTGTACCATTTGACAGTGCCAAGGACTTAGGTGGCAAGAGCTTTCATTGTGGTTGTAGCATCTTCAGGGGCAATTGCCAGCTGTGTCTCCACAGGAGTTCCTCCCAAGAATGATGGTGAAGGGTACTGGTCTGGAAATATAATTATTCTTAAGGGTCTTGGGTTCAGGGTCCTGGGCTGTCTCCATGAGGGCCTGAGGAGAGAATTGGTCAAGGTTGGGATGGTGGTCTGACTTGCCTGGCACAGGCTGCTTCCTGGGGACCATGACCTTTAAAAAAAAATATTTTGATAACTGTACTTCAATATAATTGGTTTCTTTTCTATTCCTGTGCATTTTATTTTATGCATTTGAAAATAAGGGGCCCATAGGTTTTCTTAGACTGCTAGATGGTTCCATGACACAGAAAAAAATTAAGAATTCTTACATTAAGAGAATCAGCTAAAGGCTAAGTTGAAAGACCTGAAAGGACCATTCTCTCTGTCCAAGCATCCCTGTTTTGGCTCCCCTTCCCCATGGTGACCTTAGAGAAGACTGGTTCAATTCTATATTCTACTGGGCCTTCCAGACGTTTACTCCATTGGCCAGTGACCACTCATACTCTGCTAGACCTCAGCCCTGTGGTCACTGCACTTCAAACATTCTCTGTTTTTATTCCCATGCTGCAGAAAACCAAGGGAACTTGCCCAACTTGGTCCGCTACAAATTTACCTCATCCAATCTCACTACGACCCATTTTGCTACATGACAATCCTTTTCTTCTTCCCTGCCTTAATCACAGTACCAGCTGCAGCTGTTCCAGACTTTTTCCCTACCAAGACCCTGTGCCATATGACTTACCCCTTTTCCTCTCCCTCTCAGATAAAGATCTTGCTTCTTACTTCACTGAAGAAAATGCAGGGTTTCCATTATGGATGCCTTCTTCATCCTGTGAGAGATGATCTCTGATAATCTCTCAGGAATGAAGCCTCCTCAGGGAGTTAATTGCTTCTTGTTCTGTTGAAACACCTGCAGCTGGTTGACCTTGTAAAGAAACATGCTTTTCAACACATCTTGTACTTTATCAGACCTCCTCCTCCCTTTCTAAAACTGTATACTCTAAAAAGAAAAAGAAAACCTCCCGCCTTTCCTTGTTCCCAGGCAAGTTGTAAAAGTGTCTTTGTTCTCTTCAGTTGCTGGGGAAGATTTAGGAGAATAGATTGTGCCCTTGAGGCTCAGCCAGTGGGCCAAAGGCAGGGGGTTAGGATGGGCTATTGCACTAGGTTCTATATAAACCTATTTTGAACAAAGCATTCTTGCATTGTCTGGCTGATGCCATTTTGGGCGACACAGGGGTGTCCTTTCTCGAGAAAGACAATAAAGCAACTTTCCTTTTTGCAATTCTTGTCAAGACTGATTCAAATTTGGGTAGGTGGTCTTTTGTCCCACACAGTTTCTGGGGGCTCCTCTGGGATTAAATTCCCCCCTTAGGGATTCTCTTGACCCCACCCCTGGACAGGCGCCTCGCCAGTACTTTCTGATGGTCCCTGGGTTGGCACCTTGAGATCCCCCTTTGGTGAGGAAAAATCCCAAAGAGTGTTTTAACAAGGCAAAGAAAAAGGGAGATAACTGTTTAGAGCAGGAATCATTTATGCGTATCTTTTTTTTTTTTTAGGCAATTGGGGTTAAGTGACTTGCCCAGGGTCACACAGCTAGTGCGTGTCAAGTGTTTGGTCTGAGGCCGGATTTGAACTCAGGTCCTCCTGACTTCAGGGCCGGTGCTCTATCCACTGCATCTTTTTAAGGGGATATATAAATTTGTGGAAAATATTTCCTTTTAAAGGGCCAAGAGCTTTGGATTTAAAACAAATATTTTTAAATGTTTATCATTAGTGATTATAAATTAGGATCTGATTGGAATTAAGTTTACTGTTCTATAAAGAAAATCAAAATAATGGTTATTATGGAAAAAAAGA